TGGGTGTTGGGTTTTTCAAATTTTTTTTTCTGCATCTATTGTATGATCATGGATTTTCTCTTTAGCCTGTTGATGTGAGGGTTACATTAATGACTTTCAAATGTTAGCCAGCCTTGGTTACCTGGAAGATAACATCTTGATTGTGTATATACTTCTTATATTACATGATTGGGATTTGATTTCCTATTTTTTTTGAGGATCTTGCATCTATATTCATAGGATATTGGTCTGTAGTTTTCTTTGTTTTTGGTCTGGTTTTGGTATCAGAGTATATTCGCTTCATAAAGGTGTCGGGAGGTTTCCGTTCTTCTCGATGTTGTGGAATAGTTTCTGCAAGATAGGTATTATTCTTCCTTGTAAGTATGGTAAATTCAGGTGTGAAGCATCTGGACCGGACTTTTCTTTTTAAGGGAATTTTTAATGCTGTTTTTTTCGCTGTTGAGTTGGTCTGTTCAGGGAATCTATTTTCTGGTTGAGCCTAGGAGGCTGTGTGTTTCTAGAATTTGTCCATTCTCCACATTTTCCAGTTTGTGTGCATAAAGATTTTTGTAGTATTCTGAATTGTATCTTGTATCTCTTTGGGATCAGTTGTGATATCCCTTTTTTATTCTGATGGAGCTTATTAGAGATTTCTCTTTTCTGCTTTCGTTAGCTTGCAATGGTGTGTCATTTTGTTATTTTTTCAAAGAACCAACTTTTTTTTATTAATCTCCTGATAGCTTTCCTGTGTTTCATTTCGTTTAGTTCTGATTTGATCTTGTTGATTTCACTTCTTCTGCTGGTTGGGTTGTCTGTTCTTCTTTTTCCAGCTCTTTGTCGTTTCATTAGATTGTCTATTTGTGATCTTCTTGTCTTTGGTCTATAGGTCATATGGAGATAACTTTCCTCTCAGACTGCTTTAGCTGTGTCCCAGAGGGTGATAACTTGTCTTCCATTGTCGTTTTCTTCATAGAACTTTTTATTTCTGTCTTGATTTCTTCATTTACGAAGTAATCATTTGTAGGAGTTGTTTAATTTCACGTTTTTGTGTAGAAATGTGAGTTTCTGTAGGGTTGATTTCTAGTTTTATTCCACTGTCATCTGAGAAGTACATGGTATGATTTCTATTTTTTTAAATTTCTTGAGATTTTCTTTGTGTCCTAGGATATGGTCATCTTAGAGTGTCCATGATCTATGAGAAGAACGTATATTCAGTGGATTTTGGTAGAATGTTCTGTAGATATCTGTCAGCCCCATTGTTCTAGAGTTTTGTTTAGTCCATTATTTCTTTATTAATTTCTGTTTGGAGGATCTGTCTCGTGCGTCAGTGGGTGGTTGAAATCTCCGGTGATTATGGAGTTGCTATTAATCATTTGCTTGATCCAGTAAGGTTTGCTTTATGAAACTGGGTGCACCTAAGTTGGGTGCATATATATTTAAAATTGTTATCTCTTCTTGTTGGACTGTGCCTTCCATACTTATAATGACCTCTTTGTCTTTACTTACTTTTGTTGGTTTAAAAAACTAATTGTCTGAATTAGAACGCCCACCAGCTTCTTTTGGCTCTATTTGCTTGGAATTATTGATCTCTACCCTTTATTTTTAGTCTATATGCTCCTTGCAGGTTAGATGTGTTTCCTGAAGACAGCATATACTTGGCCTGATTTTCTTATCCATTCAGCCAGCTATGTCTCTGGTGGAGAGTTTAAGCCATTCACATTTATTGAGAGAACTGATAGTAAGGTAGATTACTGTCCTTCTGTTGGTTGGATGTTGTTGCTATGTTTCTGTCTTGAGCCATTGTATATCTGCCTTTAATATGTTTGGGTTTGGTTTTTATATTCGTGGTTTATTATGCTGTTCCGTGATAACGCTGTTTTAAGTACTTCTTGTAGGGCTGGTCTGTCTTGGTGAATTCTCTGAGCCTTTGCTTGTCTGAGAATGTTTTGTATTTTCTCCTTCATATACGGAGCTTAGTTTTGCAGGAAGAAGATTCTAGGCTGGGCATTGTTTTGTTTGAAAAGAGTGAGAATGGCCCCAGTCTCTCCTTGCTTGTAAGTCTATTAGAGAGTCTGTGTTATTTGAATGGCTTTCCTTGTATGTTACTGCTTCTTTTCTTACGCTCTTAGAGGCCTCTTTAGTTGATACTTTGGTTAGTCTGATGACTGCATGTCCTGACGTTTCTTCGTTGCATTGGATCTCCAGGTTCTGAGCTTCTGCTGTATCAGATTTTGAGCAGGCCTGGGAAATTTTCCTCTATTACATCTTCAAACAGCTTGTCCAACCTTGAGTGTTGTCTTCTTCCCCTTCTTGTAACCCTATGCCTCACATTAGTTTCTTCACATAATCCCACAGCTCTGTAGGCTTGTCTTTTCTCTGTTTCTCTGCTCTATTTCTTGGACTGATTTATTTAATTGGAGGGTGTTATCTTCAGCTCTGAGATTCTTTCCTTGTTCATCTACCTGTCTTGAGGACTTTCCCTGTTTTGTGTCCTTGAATTGATCTTCATTTCAAGTTCGGTTACCTTTTCAATGTGTCTATTTCTTTCTTATCTGGGACTTTTGTGGTTCTCGGTGTTGGTATTGATTGTTGTTGCGCTGGGAGGTTCTTATGTGGTCCCATACGAATTTCTTTGCTATGGTGCGATTTTGGTCAGTGTCCTGTTTGGTGTGGCCTCTCTTTGGGTGTGTGTTTCCGTTTGGTCTCTTTTCCTGGTTCTTCGCTGAATTTTTCCCATGTGATCAGTGTTTCTTTCCTTAGGTTATTGTTTGGATTCAACTTGTTAGTTTCTGAGGCGTTAGTTGGTGCCTGTGGTGGAATTGGACCACTCCCTGTATATTGAGTCAGTGGGTGCCGTGGAAAGGCTGTGCAAGATGCCGTCCCTGTCAGTAGGGGCGTTTGCTTGGAGGAACAGGCTATGGTGTTGTTTTGAGTCCTGTTATCAGCTCTCGTTCTGGGTGGAGCTGGGTTGGGTAAGCCTGCCTCAGGCTTTAGCAGGGGTCAAAGTTCTGTTGTCTGCTTCCAGGGAAAGCTGTCAGGGCGGGGGCTGGAATGGTCCTGCTCAGCAGAAAGTCTGTGTGGGTGGGCTGTCTGAGCCCGGAGTCTGCAGCAGGCCTCGCTTTTTTCACCCTCCCAACTCCACAGCTACTCCTGTGCCTCTGCCAGCAGCCAGACCACAAGCCACAGGCCTCCCCGGACTGTGATGTCGGCAGGAGGTTCCCTGCACAGGAACGCCACCTGGTTGGGTGCATGGCCCTCCTGGGAGTTAGGGTTGCCCTCTAGGACGCCGATCCGCCCTGGAGGCACACAACTCAGTAGGCTGTTCGTATAACCTTCTGTGCCCGGGCAATGTGTGCTCGTGCAGGGATCTGGTCTGCAGGTCCGACTCTGGGTCCAAGAGTTCAAACTGTATTCCCACCAGGAGAGGATTTCTGGTCCTAATTCACCCACAGGGAGCCAAGCTGGTCTATGTCTCTCAGCTCTGGAGTCAGCACCGTTTTCCTGGGAACACGGTGCCAGCACACCTGGGAGGGCGGCGGTCCCAAACGGGAAAATCCCGTTCCCTGGAGGTGCCTCCGGCTGGTGGCTGTATTGTCTCACTGGGCAGCCGCGGCGGTAGGGTCGGTTAGGGGAGGAGGAGGCAATATGGTGCCTGCCGCACGGCTCGGTCGTGCCCAAAACAATAAATGTTGGCATGGATGTGGAGAGACAGGAACACTCATACACTGCTGGTGGGACTGCAAACTAGTGCAACCTCTGTGGAATGTAATATGGAGATACCTCAAATAACTATAAGTAGAACTACCATTTGATCCAGCAAATTCACTTCTGGGGATCTACCTAAAGGAAAAAAAGACATTCTATAAAAAACGCATCTACACTAAAATGTTGATAGCAGCACAATGACAATTATAAAGATGCAGAAACAACCCAAGTGCCCATCAATCCATGAGTGGATTAATAAAATGTGGTATTATATATAGCATGGAGTTTTACTCAGCAACAAAAAACAATGATGATCTAGCACTTCTTCTTTTATCCTGGATAGAGCTGGAGCCCATTCTGCTAAGTGAAGTGGCACAAGAAATAAAAACAAGCACCACATGTACTCACCATCGAATTGGTATTGACTGATCAATACTATGTGCACATATAGTAGTAACATTCGTTTGGTGTTGGGCAGGTGGGAGGAGGAGGGGATGGGTATATTCACACCTGATGGGTGCAGTGTGCACTGTCAGGGGAATGAACAGGCTTGGAACTCTGACTCAGGTGGGGAAAGGCAATATAGGTAACTAAACATGTGTATGCCCATAATATGCAGAAAAAAGTTAAATTAATGAATAAAAAAAGAATTCAATTGTGGAATAAACATCTCATATTCTCTGAATATTCTTTGTACTATTTAGTGTTTCCTTAAATAAAAGTTTGCACTTAACCGTAATTTGTTTTCAATGTCTGTTAATGTGTTCTGAGGCCAAGTTTGGCAATGAGAGGTGAGGAAAATATGCATAAAACAGAATCCTTGCACACGATATGGTGATCAATACATAATATCTTGACTATTAACAAGAGTAAGCTATATGAGTCAATGCAGATGCATTAAGGCAGCACAAATAAACTCAGTGGCATAAGTCTTATTCTGCAGAGACCTTTAGATAAGGATTTGGGTATGGAAGTTTATGACTTTATGTTTAATTTTATTCTCTGTCACTAATGCAGTGGTCTTAGCACATTATAAATGTGAAAATATTTGACTTCTTTTAGCATCCATTTACTGATGTGCAAAATGGGTATGATGGGTCTGTATTTTACTCATAGTATTGTTTTGAAGATTCAATAAGACAAATAATGTGTCAGGTACATAATAATTTCTCAAAAAATAATCACAAGTATTACTATCTTATAGTGAATTTTGCTATCAAGAAAGAATAAACATTTTAAAATTTAAATTATATTTAAAGCCTTGGAATACACACCAATAATTTTCCAATTGTCTGTCAATGATCTTAATAGGACCTGGTGAAAATTGATATAATCCAAAAATACTATTCAAAAATTATTCAAACTCCAATCATTTCTATTTGGATTTCAGTTCCTTTAATAGGTCATTAGTCTGAAAACCATAATTTAATGATTTTGCCACTGGGTGATTTGGAAAATAATTCTGTCCTTCTGACTTCCAGGGAGACAACCAGAATGACTCCTGGATCTTTTCCCTGGCCATCCTCCTGAGCAGCACCTTCGTGTACAACAGCATGGGAATCATCAACCAACAGGCCATGGACCAACTGCAGTATCCTTTTTTGTGTGTGTGTGGATTTAAACAACAGTAATTTATTATCTTACAATTCAGAAGTACAAAACCAAGACCAGAATTAATAAAGCAAGGTGTAGCCAGGGCCACACTGTCTCTGAAGCTCATTTCTTAGCTCTTCCTGCTTCTAGTTCCTGCTGCTTACTTGGTTTGTGGCAGCATCACTCCAGTCTCTGCCTCCATCTTCACATGGCCTTCTTCCTGTGTGTCAAATCTCCATCTGCTTTCTTTATAAGGACACCAGTCACTGGATTTAGGCACCAATCTCAATCCACAATATTCTCATCTGGAGGTTTTTAGCTTCATTATTTTGCATAGATCCTATTTCTTAATAAATTTGGAGAGTTAAGATTGAGACATATTTTGGGGGGATACAATTCTACCCACTCTATTGAAACAAACAAGTTACACAGTGAAATGTAAGATGAGGTATCTTTTGTATATAAATACATAAATTCATGCATACATATTTAATCACAGGTTTAATATCCTCTATATGAAATACTCTTAAATAACAGAGATAGGTCAATGATACAAAGAGATAGGGCATGTAAAAATCAATATAAATCCCCAAAGAACATTTGAAAAAACACAAAGCAAATAAAAAATAAAATGAAAAAGAATCATATATACCCCATCAGAAAAGTCACAGATGATAATGCAGTATATGGTTCCATTATGTAGAAGAATATATATATTGACATTGGTTTATAGTTACATGTGTTACTAAAATAAGTTAGTTATTACATGCAGAAAAAATCTGGAGAATAGATACCAATAAATTAAGAGACTATTTTTGTGTAGTAGAGAGGGAGAAGATGGAGACAGATAGAATATTTTTAATTTCTAATATACATCTTGATTAGGTTTTATATATCTCAGACAACAAAAATATTTACCTAACAATGTGACAAAGTTAGTGAGATAATATATTGCGTTTTAATGTGCTATTTTTCCACCACATTATACAAACATGCTTCTTAGTTGATAAATGTATTTCTACACTATCATTTTGTGACTGGGGCCACAGATTTTCCTGATTTGCAGTATCCTTTTTGTGCTCCAGAGCAGCCCAAATTGAGAATAAAGACCAGCCCCAATAAACCAGCTGCCAGACTGTGAGCCTTGGTGAATTAAGCTCAAAAAGAGAAAATATTTTTAAAAATTCAAGTATAGGGGGAAAATCCCAGTTTTTCTACTGAAGAATTGATAGTGAGGTTTACAAACAAAGGCAAAATGAAGGATTGCGGATATGTGTATGGAGTATGGGATGGGGTCCCTCTACATTTGGCCATGTTTCCTTAGTTAACTACACAGCTATGTGACAGAGCTGACAGATCAAATCAGGGCAAAATCCTCACTTGATGCGATTGAGGGGGAAGATTCAGTTGAATTCGTGAGCTTCTTCCCAGACTTTGTGTGGACACTGAGAGATGTGACCCTGAAGCTGGAGGTGGATGGACAGTCCCTCACACCAGATGAGTACCTGGAGAACTCCTTGAAGTTAAAACAAGGTAACAGGTATTTTCCTCCCTGTTTCCCAAAGAATTAACAACTTTGTATAGGTGCTTACTTTCACAGTTTTTTCTTAGCTGAGGTAAGATGATATTTCATTATGGTTTTCAAGGGTTTTTTTTTTTTGCATATTCCTAATAATTAGTGATGTTGACCATTTTTTCATATATTTCTTGACCATTTGTTTGACTTCTTTTGAGAAATATCTATTGCTCACTTTTAATGGTATTATTTAGGGGCTTTTTTGCTGTTGAGTTGTTTGAGTTCTTTGTAGATTCTGAATATTAGTCTTTTATCAGATGAATAGTTTATAAATACGTTTGCCCGTCCTATAGGTTGTCCCTTCAGTCTGTTATTTCCTTTTCTCTGGATTTTTAGTTTAATATGGCTGCATTTGTCTGTTTTTGTTGCCTGTATTTTGAACTCTAACCATAAACATCTTTGCCTAGACTAATGTACTGAAGTTTTTCCCTATACAATTAAGTATTACATGTAAGTCTAAATCCATTATCAGTTGGTTTTTTTTATATAGTAAGGGGAAAAGATCTAGTTTCATTTTTCTGCATATGGAAATCCAGTTTTCCAAGCACCACTTATGGAAGAGGGTGTCCTTTCCCCACAGTGCATTCTTGGCATCTTTGTCAAAAATCAGTTGGCTGTAGATATAAGGATTTACTTCAGAGTTCTTTATTCTGTTCTATTAGTCTATGTGTCTGTCTTTTTACCAAAACCATGCTGTTGATTTTCCTATAGCTTTGTAGTGTAGTTTGCATCTTTTATTCACATGAATTCATGGGGTACAAGTGTAGTCTTGATTCTTGTGCAGATTGCATAGTGGTAAAGCCAGGGCTCAAGGTATCCATCACCCAAATAGCATACATGGTACTCATTAAGTAATTTATCATCATCCAACATCCTCCAGCCCCTTCAGCCTTCCAAGTCCCCATTTTCTAACATTCCACACTCTACATCCTGTGTATACATTATATAGTTCCCACTTGTAAAGAAAAAAACATGTAGTATTTGTCTTTCTGTGTCTAACTTGTTTCATTTAAGATAATGGCCTCTGCTTCCATCCATGCTGCTGAAAAAACCATGATTTCATTCTTTTTTATGGTTGAATAGTATTCATTGTGTATGTATACTACATTTTGTTTATCTAATCCCCACTGATGGATAATAATGTTGATTCCATATCTCTCCTGTTGTGAATATTGCTGCAATAAACATACAAGTGCAAGTGTCTTTTTGATAGAATGATTTTTTTTCCCTTTTGGGAAGGTACCTAGTAGTGGGATTGCTGGATGTAATGGTAGGTCTTGTTTAGGTTATTGAGAAATCTCTATACTGTTTTCCATATCGGTTGTATTAATATGAACTTACATTCAGACTAAAACTGTATAAGCATTCCCTTTTCTCCTCATTCCCACCAATGTCTGTTAGTTTTTTTGTCATTTTATTAAGAGCAATTCTAACTAGTATAAGATGGTATCTCATTGTGGTTTTAATGTGCATTTCTCTTTTGATTGGTAATGTTGAGTATTTATTCATATGCCTGTTGTCCATTTGTATTTCTTATTAAGAAAAATGTCTATATATCCTTTTCCCACTTTTTAGTGGGATTCTTTGATTTTGTTGTCATTGTTGAGTTGTTTGAGTTCCTTATAAATTCTGATTATAGTCCCCTATGGCATGCATAGTTTGCAAATAGTTTCTCTCATTCTACAGGTTGTCTGTTCACTCTGTCCATTCTTTGTTTTGTTGTGCAGAAGGTTTTTAGCTTAATTAAGTTCACTTGTCTAGTTTTGTTTGGTTCCCTGTGCTTTTGAGGTCTTAGTCATGAATTCATTGCTTAGACCAACGTCCATAAGAGTTTTTCTTAAGTGATCTTCTAGTATTTTTATAGTTTCTGGTCTTACATTTAAGTCTTTAATCCATCTTGAGTTGATTTTTGCCTATAGAGAGATATACACATGCAGTTTCATTCTTGTGCATATGCTATTCAATTTTCCCAGCACCATTTATTGAAAAGGGTGTCCTTTTCCTAGTGGATGCTTTTGTCAGTTTTGTCAAAGATCAATTGGCTGTAAATATGTGGCTTTATGGCTGGGTTCTCCATTCTGTTCCATTGATCAATTTGTCTATTTTCCATATGAATACCATGCTATTTTGGTTACTTAGCCTTGTATTATTAATATAATTTGAGGTCAGTTAATGTGATACATCTACCTTTTTATTTAGGATTGGTTTGGATATTCAGTGTTTCTGTTTGGTTTCATACGAATTTAAAAATTATTCTGTATTTCTATGAAAAAAGTCATTTTTATTTTGATAGTGATTACAATAAATCTGTAGATTGCTATTAATAGTATGATCATTTTAACAATAATATTCTTCTGATCCATGGTCATGGAATATCTTTCTATTTGTGTCCTTTTCTATTTCTTTCATGACTATTTTGTAATGTATTTTGTTTGGTTGGTTTTTGCTTGTTTTGTAGTGGTCTTTCATCATTTCTTAAATTTTTTTAAATTTCAGTGTATGACAGGAGTACGAATGTTTAGGTTACATATATTGCCTTAGCCCCACCCTAGTCAGAGCTTCAAGCATGTCCATCCCCCAGATGGTGCACATTCCACCCATTAGGTGTGAATAGACCCATCCCTTCCTCTCCTCTCCCATCTGCTCAACACCCAATGAATGTTATTACTATATGTGCACTTAGGTGTTGTTCAGTTAATACCAATTGGATGGTGAGTACATGTGGTGCTTATTTTTCCATTCTCAGGCTACTTCACTTAGTAGAATGGGCTCCCGCTCTACCCAGGTTAATATAAGACGTGCTAGATTATCATTGCTTTCTGTGGCTGAGTGGAACTCCGTGGCACACATACACCGCATTTTATTAATCCACTCATGTATTGAGGGGCACTTGGGTTCTAGAAAAAATAATTCTATACTTTGTATGGTCTTTCATCTTGGTTAAATTTATCTGTAGCCATTTTATGTTTTGTGTGTAGCTATTGTAAATGGAATTACTTTCTTGATTACTTTATCAGTTCTTTATGGGGTATAGAGATGCTACTGATATTTGTACATAGATTTTTTAATTCTTCAAATTTACTGAATTTGTTCATAAGTTGCAAAAGTTTTTGATGGAGTCCTTAGGATTTTCTATATGTAAGATTACGTCATCTGCAAAGAGAAACAATTGTACTCTCTACTTAACAATTTGATGAGGTTATTGTAGTGATACTGTTTGAATACTCTCTCTTTCTCTTCTGTGTATCTGCTTTACCAGTAAGTTTCATACTTTTCTGTGTTTTCATGATGATGGATACCCCATCAGTTGGTCTGGTCCCCAAGCACTACTGGTGGCAGTAGGAAACCCCAGTAGGCTAGTCCTCAGTTCCCCAGGCAGCCTGCCAAAGTGCAGGTAAGCATGTGTGGGCAGAGCAAGTAGACCTTCAAGTTCCTGAGCAACATGCATTGTGGGAACCGTGGACCTAGTGGTTGCAGACCGTCCTCTCACCACAGGGTTGCCCAGAAGGGCACCTGCAGCAGCAGTGGCAGGCTAGGCAGGCGAGGACCCAGACCCCAAGTTGCATGTGCAGGTGGGCAATGGCAACAACCGGTTGGGTGGTTCAGACCCTGGGCCCCCACTAGACATACATAGGTGCCTGTGACAGCAGGCTGGGAAGGCCAACCCACAGGACTCTGGATGCTGCATGCAGGTGCTGGTTGTTGCAGTAGTGGCTACAGGTGAGGTAGTCTTGTCCTTAGGTTCTTGGATGACTTACACAGGCACAAACTCTGGTGTACAGGAAGGACATCCGTAGGTCACACCACTGTGCACAGGAGCACTGCTGATGGCATGCAGGGAAGGCGTGTCCACAAATCTCCGGAACATATGCAATCGTGCCATAATAGGTGGCAGGAGCTAGGGAGGTAAAAATATTCTGAGGCCTCCAAGGGCTGACACAGGAAAATGGCAACCCCAATGTCAATGCCACTTTGGAGAGGGTGGGGTTGCTCTGAGTGGCAGCAGGTGGAGAAGCAGGCTCTAGAACTATGGAAAACATACGCTTCAGTTCCTTTGGTCTTGGTGACACCTCGCTGTTAGGCTGCTCTACCTGTTCCCTGAGATGTTGGCTGTGGTGCAGTAGAACTAGCTGCACCACTGGATCCAGCTGGCATCATGACACTGAAGCACTTTGGGTGGATGTGAGGGTCTGTCTGCATGTTTCCAAGGATGGGGAGATGCAGGAGTATTGGGTGAAAGGACAATATTTAGTCTCATGGGTGCTGGGCTCTCAATATGGCACAATGCTTCAGGTAGTTGGATCTAGAGTGATTAGTAAGACCTAGTGTAAACTTCTTCTCTGAAACAAGGCAGTAATGTGGACTCCAGGTGGCTACTTATACTAGGCTCAGAGCCTAGGAGGGCCAGGCTGAGGATTTCTGGTGACTGCAGTGAGAAAGTGGACTGGTGGTGATGTCTTGTTTAACTTTTCCCCAAAATGGGAAATCTCCCATGGTTCTGAGACAATCCTTGCCAGATGACTGGCTGGTTTCCTGCTCCTTCTGTACCTCATCACGTCCCCATCACTTCCCTGCTGAATTCCAGTGGTCTTTTTCAGATGCTCTATTCAGTGTGTTTTGGTCCTTCTTTGTGGAGAAGGCAATTGACTGGCATCTCTAGTCTTCCAAACTCAAAGTTCATTTCCTTTCCCTTTTTCCTGTACTGTTAAAGGGTTGCTGTCATATCCCTCCTTAGGTTTTGTGAAGCTGCTCATAGCTATAGAAAATGCAGCAGAAGAAACAGTTATTTCAAGACATTTTAAATGACACATTAACACTGTACTAGATACAACCTCCTTTTATTTTTCTCCAGGGAACAGTGAAAAAGATAAAATCTATAACCTGCCCAGACTCTGCATTCGAAAGTTCTTCCCAAAGAAGAAATGCTTTGTCTTCTACCCACCCACTGACTGGAAGAAGCTTGACCAGCTTGAAACACTACGGGATGGTGAACTGGATTGTGATTTTGTGCAACAAGTGGAAAAATTCTGTTGCTACACCTTCAGTCATTCTAAGACTAAAACTCTTCCTGGAGGCATCAAGGTTGATGGACCTCGTGAGTCCTTTTCCCAGCCTTTCCATCCATTGTTAAGACTAAGAGGGGGTGAAATAACATTCACTTATTTTCAGCCTTGAAAATTGCTGGGTCTACTGGTATAATTTGTGAAATTCTAACAATATCAACAAATATCTGATGCATTACATTAGTCAAATCTTTCGAGTTGGAGATAGTGAAGGCCAGGGTAAAGAATCTGTATCCTTAATATTGTCCCAGTAGGATGGACTTTCTCAGTGCAATTAGATAGTCACTAGACACAAGTGTTGCCATGTAAGTTTAAACATTAATTAATTATAATTTAATGAAATTGAAAATTCAGATCACATAGCATTCTTTCAAGGGCTCCGGAGCTACATATAGTTAGTGGCTTCCATAATGGACAGTGTGGACATAGAACATTTTATTTATCCCAGAATGTTCTATAGAACAACACTGAGTTAGAATGAACCAAATGAAGGATGCCATCTGACTGGGATGGTAGTCTTTGGTCTATAGATATGGATTAAAGGCTAACCAGGGGCCATGATACAGAAGACAGATGATACAGACATAAATGAGAAAGATATAGTTCCTGTGCTAATGGTGCTTAGGGCTCAGGTAGATACAATTACGCAACATATTTCCCTATACAGTACAGAAATTTTAAACCTATGCTGCGCATACATGGCACCTGGGTATATTGTCAAGTGCAAGGTTCTGTTTCAGTAGGTCTGAAGCAAAGTCTGACAATCTGTACTTATATCGGGCTCTTCTCCATGATGCTTATGACATTAATGATGCAAATAGTTGAAAATAGAGAGGCTCAGAATTAAACAAAATAGAGACCTTCCTTCACTCTACTACAACCAACATCATCATTTGTTCTGTATTTTCAGGTCTACAGAGCCTTGTGCTGACCTATGTCAGTGCCATCAACAGTGGAGATGTGCCCTGCATGGAGAACGCAGTCCTGGCCTTGGCCCAGACAGAGAACTCAGCCGCAGTGCAAAAGGCCATTGCCCACTATGAGCAGCAGATGAAGAAGGTGGAGCTGCCCACAGAGACCCTCCAGGAGCTGTTGGACCTGCACAGTGCCAGTGAGAAGGAAGCCACTGAAATCTTCAGCAAGAGTTCCTTCAGAGATGTCAACCATATATTTCAAATGGAATTAGTGGTATTTTTTTTATCTCCAGTATATGGATTAGTGTCTGGAAGCCAAAGTACTATCAGGAAATGAAATTAGTATTTATTCTGATAGAAGAAATTCTTACTAGCTTTTCAAATGGTGACAACTAAATGTTTGTAATCATGATAATTACAAGGATCAATTTTATTTTTACAGACTGCAGTTTCTAAAACATATTTATTAATAAATATATGTCTAACCTTTATTTAAATGCTTATAACTACAAGCAGAGCTTCTACTCAAATTACATGCCCACTCTCATCATGTTTATCTTCAAGCATACAAACCAAAAGAAATGAAACTTACAATGTTAGTTCTCTTCAGCAAGCTTATGCTTTACATTTGTGCCATTTATGGCAATCATTAGTCCCATTGGAAATCCAGCAAGTTTCCCTGTACAAGTTCCCATAGAGCCCAATATCTGTGCTCTGAATATCACACCGAAGGGGAAGGGGACTACAGAAGAGTGTCCAAATAAAGAGAAAAGGCACAGTTCTCGTAGTGGCCTATAAGATTTGGGGAGACATAGAATTTTTTGAGAAGCATTTCCAGAAATTCTGAGGCCTTACTAACATCTTTTTCTGGTTATATTTTTTCTTTCTATTTTTACAATTAAGTGTCAACTAGAGAAAAGGCAGAAAGATTTTTGTAAACAGAATCAGGAAGCATCATCAGATCGTTGCCAGGCTTTAATTCAGCGTATTTTCAGTCCTCTGGAAGAAGAATTGACCCAGGGGAGTTATTTAAAGCCAGGGGGCTATCA